GATGTCCGTCCATCAACGACTGAGATATGATGTAAGACTTGTTAGTCACACTGGTGTAAAAAGAACATGCCCATATATATATATATATATATATATATATATATATATATATATATATATATATATATATATATATATGGGAAAAGTATTTCTCCAATCACCGAAGATAAAGTTATTTCCAGTGAGCTCAAAATGACGTCATTTTGAGGTTATAGGATTAAAAAATTATAATGATAAAGACTAATATAACCCTGCCATATATTATAAATACAAAAATACCTTGATTTTCGTCCCAAAACACGTTATTTTGGGCTCACCGGAGATAACTTGTCTCTATTGACTTGAGAAATCCTTTATCATATATATATGTATGGAGAAAATTATACTTACAACCTATTTTCATTTACAATTTCTTACAACCATATCTTAACCATTGATTTCTGTCAATCAACGGTTAAGATTTTTGCAAATCAAATTTATTAATTAATTATTAATTCGCAATAAATGACAACCGTTGATTGACGAAAATCAACAGTTAAGATATAGTTGTAAGAGGTTGTAAACGAAAATAAGTTATAAGTATAACATTTCCCTATATATATATATAGGAAAAATATTTTTCAAACAGCTTGAAATAAGTTTATCTCCGGCTACTCCAAAACTATGTCGTTTTATTTATTTATTTCCTTATATTAATTGATTCACCTTTGAATGATTATGATTCCCTATATATATTTATATTTATATATGGGGTAAACATTTCTGCAGCCACATTAGATAAGCTTGTTTACAGCTACCCTTTATAACTATGTTCTCCCGGGTAAACATAGTATAACATTAAAAGTTGCTTTTTTTTTTCTCTCCTCATTTACTTTTCTGAACCTGTCTGCTGACGTGGAGAGAGAAAAAAAAACAACTTTAATGTTATAACTATGTTCTCCCGGGAGAACATAGTTATAAATGGATAGTTGTAGATAAGCTTATCTAAAGTGGCTGCAGAAATATTTTTTTCTATATATATATGGGTTAGGATCATTTTACATCAGTGTAAGTTACATTATTAATCTTGTCCGTTAATCCCACTTATATCTAAGGGCTCAAATTTTTTAGTAATATGAGCCATTGGATACAAGTAGATTAATGATCAAGATTGAGTGTAAGACTTGTAACTCTTACAGCGGTGTAAGAATATCTTATCCTATATATATATATATATATATATATATATATATATATATATATATATATATATATATATAGAGGTAGGATCCTTTGACACCGGTGTCAAGTTTTGATCTAACGTCTCTCAGATGAAGTGTCAAATTTGAAATTTGACACCGGTGTCAAATGATCCTACCTCATATATATATATAGGGGTAAATATTTCTACAGCTACTTTAGATAAGCTTATCTACAGCTACCTTATTATAACTATGTTCTCCCGAGAGAACATAGTTATAACAGGTTCTGAAAAGTAAATGAGGAGAGATAGAAAAAAAACAACTTTAGTGTTATAACTATATTCTCCCGGGAGAACATAGTTATAAAAGGTAGCTATAGATAAGCTTATCTAAAGTGTCAAGTGTCTGTAGAAATATTTTTTCTATATATATATATATATATATATATATATATATATATATAGCTTATCGTTTCTCAAGTTGCTTGAGATAATTTTATTTTCCAGCTACTAAATCATAACCTTACAGAGATGGATCAATGGTGATAAAGGAAGAGAGAGAAAAAGAGAATCGTAACCATGCAAAAGTGAATCAATTAATAGAAGGAAATAAATAAATAAAACAACGTAGTTTTGGAATAGCCGGAGATAAACTTATCTCAAGCTACTTGAGAAATATTTTTCTCATATATATATATATATATATATATATATATATATATATATATATATATGAGGAATGTTATACTTACAACCTATTTTTGTTTACAACCTCTTACACCCATATCTTAACACCGTTGATTTCCGTCAATCAACGGTTATTATTTTTTCAAATTACACTAATTAATTAATTATTAATTCTCAATAAATGATAACCGTTAATTGGCGGAAATCAACGGTTAACATATGGTTGTAAGAGGTTGTAAACAAAAATAAGTTGTAAGTATAACTTTCCTCCATATATATATATATATATATATATATATATATATATATATATAATATTAGTAGTGTTCTTTCTTTCTCTTTATTGCTTAAGCTTAAAGATACCTGCAGAGTAATATTTTTACGTTAGTAAACAAATTTGTAACTCAATTGTCACCATCCATGTTATACAGATTAATATTCTTCTATGCAAACCCTGTATGGGCTTGAAAATCAAGTTACAAAGTTCGTGGGCCAAAGAATTTCCTTATCACAACACAACGTATTTTGTATTAAATCCGATTTAATTTGATTTGAAAATGGTTGGACCACTACGTATTTTAGGTGAACAGAATAAGTATCTTATATCTTGTATAGATATTTTAAAGTAAGGTAAAATAAAAATATAATAAAAATAAATGTAAATTATTTAAAAGGAAAAATATTTGAAATAGTAAAGGATATATGTAATATTCAATTAGTTAAAATCTAAAAAAGAAGATTGAAAGAGAAAATTTTAAAATTATATAAAAATATGCACAATTTATTTAACATAATTTAAAAATAAGTTAAAAATACCATGTACCGGAAGACTAAACTATAAAGCTAAGAATAGAGAAGTTGAGATTTAAAAAGAAAAACAACTTTTATTATAAAAATTAAATTTCAGTAATTTAGGAGTTTAAATAATTGAGATTTGAAGAGAAAAATAAAATTTTAATTTAATAAATTCAAAAATTAATTTATTTGAGAATACAATTAACCGATAAAAACTTTCAATGTACAAAAATTAAAAATAATTATTACGTTAATAATATTTATAAAACCTTAAAAAGTATTATATACTGGCCAAGTCAGGTTTTATAATTACAAAGATAATAAAATAAAAGATTATCGCTTTCCCAGAGAACCATTTTTATTATATAAGAGTGAGTCGACATGCATTGTCAATATTGATATTTGTATATTATTATTTAGTTTTTACCAATGTTGTTAAAATCAAGATCTTAAGTAAAATTGGAAGGCGATTAAAAAATCGTAAAACATAAAATCGTAATGTAAAAAAATCGTAAAAACGTAAAAGCGTTTGGAATATTAGTAAAATCGTTTTGATGAAAAAAAATCATAAAAACATAAAATTGTAGTGATAAATCGAGATTTTAATTAATTATAAAAAATCATATAATAAAAAATAAAATGAGTCAAAATTTAATAAATATCAGCATAAAATCATTTTACATTAATTACATATCAACTAAACACCTTTTAAGACTCATTCCCTAAAGAAATGTCTCTAAAATCTAGATGTGATATTAATTTCAAGTGCTTAATTTTTGAAGTTATTTTATTTAGGAAAAAGTTCAAGAACCCTCTTATAATTTCAATTAGAATCACTTACTCCCTTGTGTTCCTTTTTCAATTTCTTTGATGAAAATTTCATAGTGTCATATTTTTTTTATCCAATTTCACAATAAATTATATATTATTATTTTATTATAATACTAAGGCAAATAATCAAGCATATATTACATATTCAAATCCTTAACTCTATCAGCATGTAAAATTTAACTTAAATTGAACTCTTTTTTATTTTAACTCAACCAACTCCTTATTTATTTAATTTTTTATAGATTTTCCTGTTTTATTTGTGATCAATTCGCTTATCGTCTGTGTGAATTTGTTCAAAGTTTTGAGCGTAATATTAGTGAGCACTGTACGTTAATAGATCAATTTACTTCTTAATATATTAGTATTTTTTTCAATATTTTTATTTTCTTTGTTACTATCTCTGGCTTACATTTTTTTCATTTTAATTTTTGAACTCAGAATAAAAGTATATTTACATATAAATTGATTACTTAAATAATCTTTAATTTTGTTTTATTAAAGATACATAAATTTGTAAGAAGAAAAATAATATTTCTAAGTTAAGTATTCATTCTTACTAACAATGTTGTGAATATTATTTTATTGAAAAATCGAAATTAGTTGCTAATTTACAGTTTTTATTGTAATTTTTCTCTAAATATCTCTGGGAAGAAATTTTTTTGATAGTTTGGTAAAAAATTTAGAAAACAATGATAAAAAAATAATATTGGAGTATAACATTTTTATCTTTACATACTACAATGAAATTTTTTATAAAGGTAAAATGGACAGTTTAATTTAATTTTTAATAGTTAAAAAGTGGACAAAATGAAAAAAAACTATGTGGGAGTAAATGATAAAAAAAAAACATAAAAGAGTAAGTGATTCTTTCTACTTAAAATCATAAGGTTTTTTGAATTTTTTTTCTTTTCTTTATCCATTAATTAAGGGCTTTCATCTTTATATAACATTTTTTTAAAATGTTTTTTTCTTGCTTGGAAAGCTCCACCAGACAACGAAATACCAAGTGGACCCTACTTACTTTTATGTAAGTAGAGGAAATAAATTATTTTTATCTTGCAGGAGAAATATTTTTTTTCTATATAATCTACATAAATAGAGTATAGTATCTCTGGTGCAATAAAAAATAAAGTTATTTCGAGTAAATTGTTTTGAGGGTTGAAAAAATTAAACAAAGCTTAAAAATTTTATTTGTTTCTTTGTTATTTAAATTTTATCAAAATATTTTAAATTAATTCTCATAACCATCAAAACGACGTAGTTTTAAACTCATATTTAAAGGGTTTATCATTTTTCCTGTCACACTCTACTACAAAACGACGTAATTTTAAACTTATATTTAAAGGGTTTATCATTTCTCTTGTCACGGTTCCGAAAAAATCACTTTCCCATATGTAAAAATGGGAAGCTAGTGTTTTTCCTTAAAACTGTTTTATTTTTAAATTAAAAGTTTAAAACGTACATTTCATTATTCGCAATGGTTGGTTTTGGGAATTCAGTAGTTTAACAGTTTTCTCATCAATTCTCATTGTGAAACTTGAAAATCAATTCGCACTTCGCAGGTAGAGAGAGAGAGAGAGAGAGAGAGAGAGAAGGATCAATAAGATTCTTCTTCTCCTCTAATCTTAAGCTAATGACGATGAGTTCGAATTCATGGTTTCACTAAATTTAATTCAACATCTCATGTGAGATTTGACATTTCTACCCTTTGCCTCTTCTGAGTTTCAATGGCGGATCACTCAGATTCTTCTCCCCTTGTCCCTCCTCTCCCAATCTCTGATCCTTCTGAGATCGACCTCGAGGCTGGTCCCTCCGAACAAATCCAATGCCGGATTTGTCTCGAAACTGATGGTAATTTCACTTTCATCTCTCTCCTTTTCATTTTCTTATTTTCTGTTTTCATTTTCAGGTTAGGGCAAATTGTACTTTGATAATCCGTAGTGAAAACAATATGTTGTTAATTTTATGGATTTTAATAAACTATGATTTCGAATTTTATGCGTTCGGTTTATTTCGTTTTGTTTGCCGATTTATGAAGTCCTTGAAAACTTGTATTGTGTGAAGTATGAATTACTAAATTTGAATATGTCAACACTATCTGGATCATTTGTTATCAGAATTTCATTTCTTAGAAATTTATGTGTAGAGTGGCTCTTTGGACTTTTATTCTATATGTGGGGATATTGCAGCTATGTATTAAATGGCTGCAAATATGTGCAAATTTCATTATTGAGCCTCAACATTTGGATGCATAATGATATATCTTATCAGTTACAATCTACTTTTTTTTTTCCGTTACTCAGGTAGAGATTTCATAGCTCCTTGTAAGTGTAAAGGTACATCAAAATATGTACATCGTGAATGTTTGGATAATTGGCGAGCTATTAAGGTAATGATACTGTCTCTGTCAACGTTTTGAACAGTGTGTTGTATTTTAGCCACAACAAGGAATTTATCTACATCCAGCCATCATAATGTAACTACTTTTGCAGATCTCCGGCCATTTTTGCATTTTGTTTTGTTTGCTACCTTGAGTCTGCTATTCTGTTTTTCCTTTCCTTTAATGCTAATATGATACTCACTGCAGTCGTGTTTTTTTTTTTTTTCTTTAATTTGAGTTTTTGTGCCTGTATCTAATGATGAAAAGAACTGTAGACTTTGAGCAAATTTTTATTAGGAAAAAAAAAAAGGATCCTCTGATGTGCATGATGCATTGTGGAGAGTACCGAGTGAATAACCACTGATGGAAAAACACCTGAATATTCTGTAATGCATACAAACATCTAGATAGTTTATATTTGTAATTATGCATGATGTGCAACAACCTAAACTTAGTCTTTATATTGCGTCCTACTTTAGAGTGGCCGAATTTAGTCTTTAAAGTGTGCTCCACTTTAGAGTGGCCGATCCTTTTTCCTGTACTCTACTGCTAATAGTTCCAACTTCCATGTGTTGAACAGTGTACTTTACAGTTCTTGACCTAATAAATATGTGGATATTACTTAACATTCTTGCAGGAAGGGTTTGCATTTGCTCACTGCACTACATGCAAGGCTCCTTATCATTTGCGTGTTCACGTTGCTGCTGATAGGAAATGGCGCACCTTGAAATTTCGGTTTTTTGTCACCAGAGACATTTTGTTTATTTTTCTGACTGTCCAGCTTGTAGGTGAATCGTTTCCATTCTGGACTAGATTCTTATCCATTTATACTTTATTAATGCATATTGATGATCTGATTCAGCACCTTATTTTCTTTGTATGCAGGTCATTGCTTCACTGGCGTATTTGGTTTATCTAATAGATGGTTATCAGCAGTATTGGCTTCGTATTCTCTGGGGTTTTGAAAGTGAACCAAGCTTTTACTACATATGTGGTAAATTGCAATTAACTTAAGCCATGATCGTCAAAATGCTTATTCAATATTTTTTCTTTAAATTCGTTTTTATCCCCCCTTTGCATTGAGTTCTGAGTTTCCTTTTTCCACATATAAAAGCTGGTTTTGGTGTTTATGTTGTGTTGGTATTCAAATGCAGGAGCTCTATTGTTTTTTTCCTTGCTTGGCCTTTTTGGGTGCTTCATTACTTGTTACGATCGAAGAGTTCGCAATGATTTGGCTCAGCCTTGTAGAGAATTATGCCTTTGTTGCTGTCAACCTGGGTAGTAACCCTGATCTAATATATTCATGAGCCTTTGACATTGTTAAAACACATAATTACTCTCTTAGCGTCTGCTTGTTGTATCATTATAATGGTTGTTTTCTTGGTTAATTTTATGACGCCAGAAACTATGCTTGGGAAGTAAAATATTCAAGATTTATTTCACACTGTATTGGAGACCCTTCTTTTAACAAGGGGGGATACATATAAATTTTGTCCTCTTAATGTACATATGAGATTCAACTTTTAAATTATTCATGCTTCTATATGCTAAATAGAGAAAGTAGGCTGTTACATGTTATATTTGAAGTAGGTTATATTAACAGCTAGTCTGATTCAAAAACGTAGTGATTGATGACTGAGATTAATTTTGTTTTGTATGCTGTTGCTGCAGAGTTTGTGCAGACTGTCATTTGCCAGGCACTCTTTGTATGTGGACTGATTGCACCACATGCTTTGAGAGTTGTGGAACCATGGCAACTGAATGTGGTGGTTGTTTGGGAGGTGCTGGGGAAGCAGGGTTACCATTATTATTCATAATGGCTTTGATTGTTTTGGGACTTTTTACTGTAATTGGGATATTTTACAGCGTATTGGTGGCTACCATGGTAGGTCAACGGATATGGCAGCGTCATTATCACATACTTGCAAAAAGGATGCTAACAAAGGTGCGATTGGTTCTCTCTCTCATTTTGTGCATTGCTATGAACTGTCAATTCTTGCTGCAGTTCAGCTGATAAGTCAAGCTAAATACCTAATCGATATATATGCAATTAGCTCATTTAGCCATCACCTGGTTTAGCATTTAAATACTATATAATATCTTCTCAGAGACATTTATTTGGAAAGCAATAGTCAAGAATCTCAACCATAAATTTTTCTGCTTTTGTAAGTGACTTATTTAGACTCTTGCATCCTGTTGATGGAAAGGATTTTCCTGATTGTTTTTGGGAAGGTAAATGTATTTTAATTTTTAGCTACTAGCTTACCTTTATATCACAAGCATTGTTTTTGATGTGGCTGTTTTGCTGGACTTCAAAAAGATCTTGCAGTCTAACAAGTGAATGACAGAAAAACTGGAATCAGAATATGGATAGTACTGCACAAACCCATGTAATATGCCTTCCTGCTACTGATATCAGTATTCAGATGAGGATTTGTATAAAAGCTAACTCAGCCAAAAATAAAATACTGAGATATGGCAGACTCTTTGAGCGGTCTGCTTCCTCCTTCCCAAACTCTGACTCAGTACATAGTTGCCTCACTTTCTCTCCCTCTTCTTCCCTTAAGCCACTCTCTAACCAAATCTCCCCTGCCTCACTGCTGCATAATAAGGTTTTTATAAATCATTTCCTCAAGTTGATCGCTCACACATCCACACGAGGGGGCCAATCCCCTGCTGCTCTTTGAGCGGTCTGCTTCCTCCTTCCCAAACTCTGACTCAGTACATAGTTGCCTCACTTTCTCTCCCTCTTCTTCCCTTAAGCCACTCTCTAACCAAATCTCCCCTGCCTCACTGCTGCATAATAAGGTTTTTATAAATCATTTCCTCAAGTTGATCGCTCACACATCCACACGAGGGGGCCAATCCCCTGCTGCTCTTCTATTTTTTTCCTTTGGGACAATTTAGTAATGGGAGGGAGATAAACCAGTTTTGGCTTATAATTTGGCGTGGCACAAAGACAGTTTTGAGATTAGCTATCCTTAATTGTAAATACTGGCAGTCACATGTATTGAGTTAACTGCATGTGATGGTGCCTGAAATATTCTAACATCATCGTAAATTGTTGATTATGAAACTGTTATTACTTATCATCGTAGGAGTATGTGGTTGAAGACGTTGATGGAGAACAGACAGGGTCTGATTGGTCTCCCCCATCTCTCCCACCTGAGCACGTTCAGCAGTTGAAAACATTGGGACTCCTATGAGTTTGAAGGAGGCATCAGTCATCTACTTAATGACAACAATGACAATAGATATAGACTGGCCTTCCCTTTGTTTTGGTAAGCTGGTCCTTTTCATGAAGATCTACAGTTAATTGATTATAGTAGTGTAATAGCCGCTCGGTTCAATTTGGCTAGACTCGCTAGAGTTGTACACTTGTGCTGATATGTGAAAATTTGTAATTTCTTATCCGTCTTACTAATGTAAAGAAAATGGCAGAGGGTTCTTTGAAAGCCCAATAAAAGGTTACACGTTTATCGCCACTTCTTCTCCTTGACATGTTGCTGCTTGGCTAGTTTTGTTTTCTTCGATGCTCGTTGCATTTGTTTTATATTTTGATATTTTACTCGAATCGAACGGTAGAATTGCAGCCATTATACAATCTCCTTATTTCGATTAAAGGAGAAAATTTCCCAATTTACTGATGAACAATTTAGTCTGTTTGGCCTCTTTCTATATGCCACAGTTAATAACTGCTCAACGCTAATCTTATCATTCCACATACGGCATTTACTCATCGACTCTAGCAGCACTGTCTGTGAAATAACATCCTACCCTCTTATTTATTTATTTTCCGAACATAAAGAGGTGTTGATTAGTGTGTGAAATGGGCATACTGTGTGTGTAGATGTGTGTTTAGTATTCAAAATAAATTGTAATACAAGTTCATTGAGAAATTTATTTTTAAATAAATTTGATTTTTTTAAAAAGAGAAAAAAAGTAATGTGACCCAAACATTCAAAATCAAAGTTCCTTTATGATAATTAATAAAGTTTGGCATAGTTGGTTGATGAGTGAGTTCTTTAAATATGCTGATAGGTTCGATTTCTAGTTGTGTGTATGAAAATTGTTTTGTTGGTTGAGCTAAAATTTATTTCGATAATTTTTATGCTTTAAAAGAATTAGTCTTTGACTTTTTGAGATGCATTCAGGAAACTCAAAAAAAAAAAAAAAAAAAAAAGCCAAAAAGAGAAAGTTACTTTTGTGATAAAACGGTATCGGGGTTGAGTCAAATTCTGAACACGAGTTATATTTGGATTGTGGTTTCACAAAAGATCCACTCAATCGGATGAGATTACAGCCACATGTAAAATGTTGCATAACATTTTATCATCACCATCTTACATTGCGCCTAATAATTATTATTATTAGATAAAACACGCGCAAACACAAAGGGTGCTATAATTAATTAAAAGATTAACGTTTCTTATATGGTAAGAAATGATTTTATTTTCTATAGATTTATATTTTTTTTTTCTCTTCTCCTCAGATGACTTATCTCGAAACATTAATTTCATTAATTAAAGCTATAAACCAAAAGACCACTGGTCTGCGTATTCACGTTTAAAACGAAGGTGAAAAGGGACAGGCACAGGCTTGGGCACGTGCATGGTGGACGGCAGTGATTACGAGTTTCTCATCTGGCAGACTCCACTGTGCCGCGTTTGAATATTTCTTCTTAACCTTAATAAAATATCAAACCGAGTTATGATGATGTTCACTCAAATAAAATATTTTATAAATTCTACACTAATCTTTTTACAATCATATTTTTTGGTCTAATAACTATTCACGTAATATATAAATTTCAATCTTTGATTTTACATTTAAAATTTTCTGATGGTTATAATTCACTTCCATTACAGCTAAATACTGTTGGATTATTACAACTATCTATCCTTTTTTTTTTTTTTTGTCCTCACATTTAACACGGGTCATATTTCTCTCGTCATGTTCCGTGTATCGTGGTTATGGGCAAGGAACATATTTGTATCAAGTCACTCCGAAAGTCATCACTCATCAGAACATAGAAACAATGAACCATACAAATGACCCTACCCCACTAAAAAAGTATATTCATATCAATAAACCTTAATTCACATGCATTCTTATCCAAAACTGTGGACCGGCCACTTCTCTAACATAAGTCCCTTCCTATAAATAGCTTTTGCTTTGAACAAAGGTCTGTAAGAAGCAACAGCAACATTTAAATTAACATACAATTTCATTTCATATTTCGTACTATATATAGTGAGAGAATCAACCATGTCTGACATTGCTTTGTTAGTAGCGGAAGAGTTTGAGAGGAGGACAAAGAATTTGAAAAGTGGAGGCCCGGGCGTTGTAAGAGAAGGTGAATTCAACATGGTTTCTTGTGCTTCGCTATTGGTTTTCACACGGAGGCTGAAGGAGAAGGTTGAGGAGAGGATTTGGGAACCCAAAACCCAAATTGCTATTGCTGCTTCTAATAGTTTTTTCTCTGCGTGAAGAATGTTTATTACTTCTCCTCATCAGCTCTGCTTGTTGGTTGTAATAGTTTCCTTTTTTAATCTTCTTTTCTTTGTGTTATTTATTGTCCATAGTTATATATTTAGAATTAAAATTTAAGGGGGATTATGTTTTTGGGATAAGGTTATATTTATAAAAATTTTGTTTACAAACTACACTAAATATGATCAGTTATACTTCAATCAAGAATATATAACCGGTCATATTTAATGTAATTTATAAAAAAAAATTGTAAAAGATTGTTCCTTATGTTTTTAGCAAGTTTCTCCTCTACTCCAGTAACCCTTCACTTTTTTTTGGGTTATAATCCCCAGTAACCCTTTTATTCCTTCTACATCTCTGACTAGCCCTTCAACTTCCAAAAGATGACTTTAAGCTTATTTGTTTAGTTAATTCACGACTTAATTTTTTTTAATAATTTTGTAATTAATAGATGTATTTATATTAAAAAAGTATAGTAAAAAATAAAACAAAACAAAATAGAAATGAAACCTTTTTATATTTATAATATATTGCATAAAAAATTATAATTTTTGTCATTAAAGAAACTTTAAAAAAGGCTTTACTATTTTAAAACAAGTTCAACATATTGTCACAACAAACATAGAAATAATAAAACTAATGAAATTATCATTATTCAACTTACTAGTGTATTATACACACACGAGTTACTTGTAAACTATTAACAAGTTTATCAAGTGTGATCTTGACTTATTTATATTACCAAGTTTAAGTGTATATTTAAAATTCAATAAAATAGTTTGTTGTTTAACTAGTTAAGCTTGAATATTTCATGAATAACTTAATTTATTTACATTTTTTAGTTTATAATAATGTTCGAGGGATTAGTTTTATAACACTATTTAGAAGAATTTTCGGTTTTAAAAATTAATTGGACACGGATTAAGGTTGTGAACATATGAAAGAAATAATTGTGGTAGGACCCACCTAATAGCAATACGAAACTTCACTAACGACAACTTAAATTGCAAATACATATTTTGAAAGTTAATGCACGACACAGAATAGTTAAAGTGAATTACTGATGCATATGGCAGGGTATAGGTTCACATGAAAAGCACATTTAAATGTGCCTATTATATAGGTAGGTCAGTAGGTGGATAATATCACCTCAAAATAGATCAAAATATTTGCTTAAGATGATTTGAAGTCACAATTTGGAATGAGGGCACTCATCTGATCCTTGACAGTTGACTTGGGCCTTTTAATTGCGTACAATTTTGGGTCACTTTTTGAAAAGGAAAGACTCTTCCGTATTTATTTATTGATTATAAGCATTTAAATAATGATTAATTTGAGCATAGGCGTTATGTTGGCATAAATGTATTTTTTAACATGATTTAAAGTATCCATATAAAAATTTCTTAACCATAACTAGATCGTACTGGGCCTAAAAGGTTAAGTCCCAATAACTCATAGACTAAGTTATACCCTATGTTTAAGCCCACTCCAGATACACAAGATATTGTTTCAGGGGATCTTTAATGATTTCTGAAACCATATTATGTGCACTTGCTTAATTCATCAAAAAGAAATATTGTCACTAATTGCTTTGTTTACTCTTCTGCTAATAGGCCAATTCATAGAAAACTAACAGCATTTGAAAATCAATAATACTGAAGATAATACATAGCTTATTAGGATATATAGTCACAACTCACACACACCGAAAAACAAACAATTTCCCCTTTCCTAGCGTAGGTGAGTAAACCTACTACAAGAAGTTTTCATTCGTTTTAAGGTAGAATCCAACTGGTTGGTGACCCAAAATGTGTTGAAATTTGATGTCAGTGACTATTGTTAACAGCCCATAGTTGCAGTAAGAGTGCTTTGATCTACATCTACCCCAACCTATAAACAAATGTGTCCCGTGATATGCTGATCTACCTAATTGTCCTGTCCTATGTCTGGTCGCGACTCCAATAATTAAGTTTAAAGGATATGTGGATAAGCTTTAAACGAGTACTTATTATATTTGAACCAACAAATTATAATACAGATCTGTTAAAAATGTGGGATTTTTTTTTTTTTACATTATTTATAAGGAAAACTTTCTTTGGGGAGAAAGACTTACATTTAGCAGTTAACAAAAGTTTAAAGGGTGGACAATGCACAGGCCCACCTCTACCTGTGTGAATAAAGAAATTCCATTTGAAAGAAAATGGATGACGGCAAGGATCGAACCTGGGACACGAGGCTTTAATACCATGTAAAGAACCATTTCAACCCAAAAGCTTAAGCTGTTGGGTGAGGCTACATTAATAATTTTATATATCTCAATAGTTTAGTTGAGGTAATTCTTGGTTTGCTTTGCTTCAGCTTCTAAATGCGAGTAGATTTGTCCTAGATCATGTATTCTTAATTCTGTCACAGGAAAACAACATTCTAAAAGCAAGGTAAGTAACTTAAGTTGAGATTATTGTTACGGATCGGTCAACACGTTAAAAACTAGCTCAGAGAATGAAAATGTACAGTACCTTAAGAGAATGAGAATGCACAATACTTTATAAACCCCAAATTAATTGTTTGAACAAATATATGACTCGTAACAATTATCACCGATGTGATCAATGAAATTGAGATATTTCCTTTCAGAAGACAAACTTGAAGTCAAATAAAGTAGGTGGAAAGAAGACAAAACAACTTAATGAGTATATATGATTCAGAAATGTGTTTCCCATAATATAAGTCAACAATAATGAAGAGAAACGTGAAAAAACTGATAATCTTTTTAATTAGTTCAAGAGAAAAAGTATTGAAAAGATTTAAAATTCTTTAAAAATAAATACACATTTTTAATATTTTAAAGGGGTTATTATTTTTTATGTTATAAAAAATTTATCTCCTACACACATTTTTATGTTTTCTTTTTCTCTTTTTTCTTTCAGAAAAATATTTTTACAGTTAATGCAGATAAATTTTCTGCATTTATTTTCAAAACGATGTCATTGTGGGATTAAAAGATTAGAAAATTATAATTATAAATACTATAATAACCCTGAAATAAATTAAAATTATAAAAATACCATAATTTCCGTCCCAAAACGACATTGTATTGGACTTATTACAGATAACTTATCTGCAGTAACTGCATAAAAATCAAACCCTTTTTCATTTCACATGACGCCACATGAGGTGCAAACCCTTTTTCTTTTCACATGATCCCACATGGGTACACACAATTTTATGTGTGTGTAGAAAATAATTTTATCTTATAACATTAGAGACATTAAACTCAATTTTAAAAGATCATTCCTGTCTATGCTCCTAGTGTGCTAAATTATATATATAAACTGTAAAATTGTTCAGCAAAATTGGTTAACATTGTTGAAGTGGTTACCCATAATTCTTTACGTGAAAACTGAAAACTGAAAACAAGGCGGTCCTGTGGGGAAAATTAGGCGACAAGGAAGTCAGTTTTATAGTGAACAAATTATTTCTAAGTCAAACATTCTGTTTTTAGCTTAACTTATGTTGCATTTAAAATAATTTATGATTAAAAAAATCCAAATATGCTACTAATCCATCTGAACCAGTTTGAACATAGGTAAGGCTTATGTATATTTAGCCCATTTTTATGATAGGCTTAACTGATATAAAGAGTCACTTTTCTTGATATCAAACCATAACCTTCTTCACCTGCCAATTTAAGGGAGGGGGCATTCGTAGAATATGAAATATCTATCTACCACTAGTTGCATTTGGGAGCCAACTCTGCTATGTGAAGCAGGTTTAGTTTCCTCCTTGACAATCTTTGGAGGTTTCTCATCTTGAAATATCCACTTATTACAGATATATTTCCAACCTAATTACAGTTGCAAATTTGCCAAGATTCGACTCCTTCACAACAGAATTTGAACCGTAATTCGGATGATAAACATAAGAGTTATGTAACAGAACAGTCAAAATGTAACGACACTTTTTAAAGTACAGAGTAAAGTACTTTTTGGGTCCTCGATAAAAATCACAGCCCAATTTTAATCTTTTAGGAAAAAAAAGTCACTTGTAATTCCTCTGAAATTCAAAATAGATCCAAATAGTTGAAATCGTGATTTCTTTGAAATTCAAAGAAAAGTCCCTCAAAAAAACTAACATAGGTCTTTTTTGAATTTCGGAAGAACCACAAATCGACTTTTTCTTTCTAAGAAATTAAATTGGATCCCATGATATTTGTTGAAGTCTGAAAATTACTTTACTCTAAAATATATATATATACATGAATATTCTTCTAAGGAATCCCAAAATAGGAAGAACAGTTCCTTCTGTTACAAAAAAAACCCCTAAGAAAATTAGTTGTTTAAGAATATCTTGAAGACAAGTTTCGATTCCCATGGAAATCACCACGTAATACGGATAACAGAAAGGGAGGTTGCTCATCATTCCCATTGAAATCTACCTGATTCAGAAGCTGACGATGTTTGGACACAACAGCATCTGGCAACACTTTTTTCCTACAAAGTGGACACGTAGCCCAATATTCTAACAACCACTTGTCCAAGCAATCTTTGTGAAATGTGTGTTTGCATTTCAAGTTCCTCACCTTGTCGCCTTCCTCAAATTCGGATAAGCATACCCTACACTCCACATGCTCTGTCCTCAACCCTTTGGTGTAACAAATCGTGGGGTTCTTCTCTTCAATGAATTTGAGGTATTGCTCAGTGGTAATTGGACTTGTATCCTCTGTTGTTAATTTCCTAATAAGGACAATAAGTTCTATTAGGAGGCATGCCAATAAGAGTATGATTTTCCCACAAAGCTGATGAAATAGCTTAGAGATCTCTCTCATGGCTTCTACCTCTGCTAATGAATTTTTTCAAATCCAAAGTGGTTTTTCATTTATATGAAACGGATGGTGTTCGTGGCCGCCACTTATCAGATTCCTACACACGTTCTTTGAATGTAGATACTAATCCAAAGGAAAATTAGAAAATGATATTCTGTCTTTGACTGCGACGACAATTACAGCTTGCGTTAATTGCTAAGTATGTTAATATAAAAATGTATTATAATTACACTTATTACTATTTTGACAGATAATTATTTTTACATATTGGGTAAGTTATTTTTATACCGATAAATTTTGATTCATAATTTATTTGTATTTAATGGCTCAAAAATGTAATAAATCAGAATAATTAAATATAAATAAAATCAACTTTTAATATTAAGAATGTAACTTATATTGATGTAAAATAATTCTAATTATATATTATCTAATATGTATTATAATTCCTGTCTTTGGTTATCAAATGATTCGAAAGACGGTGGCGTTCGGCAAGCACTTATTAAAGCGGGGCGGTCGTTAATTAAAAAAAAAAATACACAATGTGTCGCTAATCAAATTAAGTAACAATATATTGGAAGAATACGACAAAGTTTATTTGAAGCCCCATTTTGACTACAAAGAATAAAGCTACTTGCCCTGAAGTAAAACGAAGAATTGAAGATTACCTAGTCTTTGAGCAGCCAAAAACGTTAAAAATAAAATTAAAAAAATCAAAGAAAGAATATGCCGCATTGAAACTTCCTGACCAACTTCCACCTTGCTTGTACTCTCTGGGCAGCCCAAAATGGAAGACTATATCAACACTACGATTAGCATTACTTTCGATTTGTATTTTTTAATGCAATTGCTTGGTGCACGAGAGGGAAGCACATGCGATTGGTAACTGGCGTTGGCCAACAACTAACGCATAATAAATTGAAAAAAAAAAAAACTTCTGTAATCTATATAATTTTGGTACTTCTTTTGTGCTATTTAATCTATATAATATGGAGAAAGAGTATATTTATCATATTTTCTTTATCATCCCTTATAATCAATTTTAAAATTATAAAATGACATAAAGTGAAAGTTGTTGATTTGATTTTGATCCAATAATAACAATAATAGTTTTAAGACACTACAAGAATTCATGTATTTTTGTGGGGGTCATATTTGCAACTCGTGGCGGTCTTTGACCCCACAATACATATTTGTGGCATTCACAGCGTACATCAGTTTCGCATGCGCTATAACACATTTTCTGGCATTTTTTTGTGTAATGCCACGATTTGTTGGAGTATTTTTTGAATATTCCAGACCGCCACAAATGTTGCACTTTCTGAGGGTTATAGACCGTCACAATATGTTTTACTTTCTGTCATTCAAAGATCTCCACAAAATTTATCACTTCTTGGAGGGATAGACCAATTTGTTCATTATTTTGGCAGGGTTAAACCTCCACTATTTGTCACATTTTGTTTTGGACATTACAACATAGGAATCGAACTGCAAACCTAATACACACTAAACACACCCAACACCATTAGGCTAACCCTAATGGTGCATTTTGGGAATTGAGCCCATCACTTGATTTTTTAACCAATTTAGTATTTGCTTATTTGATCTCTTAATATTTCCTTGAAAATAATTATTAAATACTAATTATTCAAAACAGAAATTTATTGTATTTTAAGAAAAATTGAAAGTCAACAACATCTTGTTATTTATTATTTGAAATGAAAATATAGATGAATAACCCAATGGGTGCAGCTCAGTTGGTAACTTTGCGCTGAGTTAGTGGGGTTGGATATGTGTTCGATTCCCGTTGAATGCATTCTTGGGGAGGGGGCTGAACCTTTAGCCATCACTGTTCCCCCGCACTCCGGATTAGTCTCATAGCCGGCTCAAAGAGTCGAAGCTCGTGGGATACCGGAGGGAGCCAACTCGTCTCAAAGAGATAATTAGGGTTGTGTAACTCCAAAAAAAAAAAAAATAGTTGAATACAAATATATTACAATTACTATAAGGGGTTTACGTCGGTCTTGTTACAAGATTAACTTTGGTTTTCCTGCAGAAACAACCTTTATGTGAGACCCACTATTTTAAGAAGAAGAAAAAAATCAAAAAATGTGATACGCCTTTCGATGGGTCAGTAGGATGGAGCTTTATCTTTCCTTCAACATAATAGTTACATTTCCCTTACTATAAATCCTCAAAGATAACAAATATAAAACAAGGGCAAACTTGTAAAACCATATTATCATCCCAGTTTAATCTTTTTTCATTACATGTTCACTCTTCCCACTTGGCATACGTTGCCAAGAGGAAAAGAGGCATTTAACCAACGTACAGGTCATACACAATAATTATGTGTTATTTAACCCTTCAGCAGCAAATGTACAACTCCTATCTATATTCACTCAGCTTTCCAATGGAAAATAATAATAACAACAATAATAAAGAAAAATAGAAAATAGAAATCATGCTTAATATTATTAAATACTAGTTAGCCAATTCAAACATAACATGGTTATTTTGCTAAGTTTTAAGAAAAATACTCCAATCTCCCTGATGGCACTTGTGCTACAATTATGAGTAGTATATTCAAATCTCAGCAATCCCTTAATCAATTACATATTCAAAATTGACTACAGATTAGAAATAGGTACACTAGCAGTTTTCAATAACAAGGTTGTTTAACTCCAGTCTATCACACCAAGACTCAATAATTACAATGATAACGGAAAGACTCTTAATAGAGTAAACAATAGTAATTCAGGGGTGATTATTATCTAACGAAGGCCTTTCGCGTGTTGGGATAACTTCTTCACTCCCTTCATCATGTGTAAAATCAATTTATTGTACCCTTTTAGCATGTTTAAAAAAATGAAGCACTTAAACTTCACTCATAAACTAATAATATATAGTTCAACATTAAAAATAAGCATATGAAATTATTACCACTAGAGTAGAAGTGGTACCAAATAAAGCACTCAACTATGGAGGAATTTGTGTATGCAAGCATTACCGTCTGTAATATCTTAACACTCTCTTCAGATGTTGCTAAATTGGTCTTCAATGAAGTAACCTCTTCTTTCAACCGAGAACTTTCAGCTGAATTCACACTTGAGATAGTAGAGCCTATAATATTGAATCATCCACTTGTGGGTCCAAATGCAATACTAAGAAGATCACCCAGGCCTAAACCATGTACACGACCTGTGGTCCAAAAACTTTTGCAACAATATCATTTGTTGAAATTTAAGAAGAATTAGTGCTTTGATTTAATTCTTCATTTATCTAATCCTGTACATATAAACAATTCATGAATCTAACATGAATATAAAGAATGAGCAATTAGCTATCAGTTTAGTTTTCATGAAACTAACATGAGGAAGTTATGCAGGAATTTATTGGTCAGTATCCTCATGTCGTTTCTAATAAATCAAAGAAGTTGGGGATAGAAAATGCCATATTGCTATAGACAGTGAAAATTATTTGAAATATTGGATTGAAGCGTGTAATTACAGGACAATGTAGCCCCAAGTCATCAATATCAAAGTTGTAGATGAGATAATTATTTGATGTTTGCAGAATGCTAATAATACCCAAACTAACACAAACCCAATTGCTTATAGTAGACATAAACTCACGCAAGTACTAGATGTTAACTCTGACCTTACCTTAGCCACTAACTACAAGATTGTTTCAATTTTATACAGAAGAGTAACAAGTGTGTGAGCCTTTGAGATGAAACAATTCTTAATTTTGATGTAGATACAAAATGATGAGCCAAAAGAGTTAAACCAAAAGCAGAACAAACAAGGAACACAGTTAAAACAAAAAAAAACGAAAAAACAAAATATAGGAAGACCATGTAGATCAAAAGCCAACAAATCAATGCAAGATTTTTTGGATTTACCCAAATGGGAAGCAATGCAAGTAACCCATTTTTACTTGGGCTTGAATAGTCCTAATTTGTTCTCATCGTTAAGGTTCAACTTATAATTAAGTGCACCTGAACTAAACCTTGACTAACCTGCTCGCATTTAAATCATATTGAAAGCGTTAACTACTTTAGATTTATAACAACCAAATTCACAGAGCCTTAAAACTGAACTTTATTCTCAAATGGTAGTAGGAGGATTCCCAGATTAATAATTTTTTTTTTACCTCAGCCATGTTCTGTTTTAGAAAGCAGTTTTGCGGTCATAATGTTATAGATACTTAAATGGCGAGTCATTGGGGGCTTCTTGTGCACTGCTAACATATATCTTTATAATATGATACTTAAAGCTTAACCATATCCGTAGCTTTTAGATTGGTCCAAAAGATAGTTACTTCGCCAGCATTAAACGACATTTCCCAAATACAACCTGTTAAATTAATATACAACCAAACTAGTTCTTTAGACATGAACCACGCCAAACAAGACAAATTCAAAAAAAAAAAAGGGCAAATATGCAAAAGCTGTTAGAATTTTTTATAATCATTGTGGACTTCAATCTATTGTAATTTTTCTGATAAAAATGGGCTAAGTCATGATCTATATAGGGGTGTAATATAATGCTCATTTAATTAAGTGATCCTTTTATTTGGGTTTGAATATTTGTAAAATGATTAGTGTGGATAACAGTGTACGCCTGATCCATAGGCACATGATGGAAAGGGGATTAAGGTTAATAAGTTTGGCTAGGCCCCCTCTACATTCACAGTGTGTAAAAAAAACCGTCACTACACAATTTGCCCTATCGACAGTTGTGATCAGGGAGTTGTGTGAATTGTAAAGGAAGATCATGGTCTCTTCAACCTTTGCAGGAATACCAGAGCAACCACCGCAACTGAAGTATCAAAAATTATGTCGTCAACAAATAAACATAAACCCTTTTGATATTCTAATTTCATATAATCTTATCTTGAAATTTCTTAAAGCATGAAATCATATGCACAACAATTAAAAAGCACACGAGTAAGCAACAAAAAGCTGAGAGATCACAATGGTGACAGGTAAGCGATGCGTATATCCGCTTAGCACAAACAGCAAGACACCTAATTTTTTTCCATTAGATCTGAAAGAGTATAACAGTTGTCAATATATTTCTGTTATAAGTTTTACATTTCTAGTTATAGTCAGTTATAACTAACTCCTAGCTACTGAGTTGTTAGTTGTAACTAGCCTGTATATATACACTGCTATGTTGTAATAGTGAGTAATGATGAATTGCTTTGTCTAATAGAAAGATCACATTTAGTTTTCTTCTCTTCTCTTTCTTTCTTCCCTTTCTTGCATTCTGGTCTGATACCTTACATGTTATCAGAGCTTGAATCTTGATCCATGGAAAACCACGCTTCAACACAACTAGCTCCAACAACACAACCCGCACTACATACCTTTTCGAATCCAGTCTCGATTAAACTGGATGAGGAGAATTTCCTCCCTTGGAAACAACAAGCATCAGCAACAATCAAAGGTTTCAAATTACAGAAGTTCATCTCCGGAGATGCAGAATCAGCAAGAAACGAATATGGAGCAGATCTTTGGGAACAACAAGATCAATTGCTGGTTTCTTGGTTATTGGCTTCCATGTCCGAATCTCTTCTTACAAGAGCAGTTGGATGCAACACTTCACATGAAATTTGGCAGAGGCAAAAAAGAGTTCTTTGCTTCTCAAACTCGAGCAAGAATTAAACAATTGAAGGTTCAACTCAAAAGCACAAAGAAATGAGACTCCATTTCGAAGTATCTGCTGCAGCTAAAGAAGATTGTAGATTCGCTTGCAGCTACAGGAGCTCCCATATCCACTGAAGATCATATCGATGCCATACTCGACGGTTTAGGTGAGGATTATGATCCTTTCATTATATCAGTTACTTCAAGAACTAATGCCTATTCTGTGAATGAAATCGAGTCTTTACTAATGGCACAAGAAGAACGTATAGAAAAGCACAGAAAGACAAAAATCAACTCTCTACAAGCAAATGTGGCCCAAATGCAGTTCTCAAGAGGTGGAAGATTTAACTCTACAAGAGGAACCTTCCTTAATAGAGAAAGAGGTCAGAACTATAGAGGAGGCAGGAACTTCTATAAAGGTGGAAGATTTAATCAAAATTTTCACAATTCTCAGAATTTTCAGAATTCTAACAGACCACATACCAAGTCTGTGGACGGTTTGGTCACATTGCTTGGGAGTGCCATCACCGTTTTACTGAGGGACTTCCAAATCCCTATAATCAGCATCAGATAAATGGCTCATCTCAGAAACCTCAAGCTCATGTTGCTGTGGCCGAATCCAATAGTTCTTCTCAGTATGAAGATGTATCTGATCACTGCTCAGTCTTTGATCCTACTTGGTATCCTGATTCAGGAGCAACCAACCACTTTACTCCAGACCAATCAAACCTGATTGCAAAGTTGAACTACAGAGGCAATGATTCTGTCAAGATAGGTAATGGAACAGGTATGAGAATACAACATATTGGTCACTCAATTCTCCATTCTCCTTATAATTCATCTTCTTTTGCCTTATCTAACCTCTTACATGTCCCTGGTTTGTCCAAAAACTTGCTGAGTGTTTCTCAATTTGCTAAAGAACACAATGTTTTCTTTGAGTTCCATTCTAACACATGCTTTGTTAAATCTCAGGTCACCAAGGAGATTCTTCTCCAAGGGACACTTAAGAATGGTTTATATGCATTCCAAGGTGTTAAAGTGCTCAAGAAATCTCTTCTTGCTGCACTTCATACATAAACTTCCACTTGTAATAATTCCGTTGATTCTTCTCGAAATTCTTCTTGTAATTCTGTCATAGACCTATGGCATAGTCGACTAGGACATGCTTCATTCAAAACTGTAAAAGCTATCCTTTCACATTTTAATATTCCATTTCATAATAAAGTTGACATTACACCATGTTGTGCTTGTTGTATGGGAAAAATGCACCAACTACCTTTTAATTTGTCTTCTACTGTCTATTCTCAACCCCTTGAATTAGTTTTCTCTGATATATGGGGTCTGGCCCCTATGGACAGTATATATGGTTCAAGGTATTACATATGCTTTGTTGATGCCTTTAGTCGATTCACTTGGGTTTATCCATTAAAAACCAGATCCCAAACTCTCTCCATCTTTATTCAATTCAAGAACATGGTTGGACTGCAATTGAATTCCAAAATTAAAGCTGTCCAAACAGATAATGGTAAAGAATACCTCATACTCACTCCCTTTTTACAAAACCATGGTATCCTACACAGATTGACCTGCCCTTATGTCCATCAACAGAATGGTACACCTGAAAGGAAGTATAGACACATTGTTGATACTGGTCTCACCATTCTGGCAGCTTCTGCTCTTCCACTAAAATATTGGGAAGATGCATTCATGTCTGCTACTTTTGTGATTAATAGGTTGCCTTCACCTACCTTAGAAAATAAATCCCCTTTCCAAATTCTGTTCAATAAACTCTCAAACTACTCTTTTTTCAAAAAATTTGGTTGTGCATGCTATCCTTATCTTAGACCATATAACAAAAATAAATTCAATTATAGGTCAGAACCTTGTACCTTTCTTGGTTATGCTGTGAATAACAAAGGTTACAAGTGCCTTACTGCATCAGGTCGAATTATCACTACTGTTCATGTTATCTTTGATGAACACTTTTCCCTTATAAAACTTCTAAGCTTTCCCCACTTCCATCATCACCTGCACCATCAGTTGTTCAAGTTGCACCTCTTATACCTACTGTATCTCATCCATTGAGTGATCCAACATCTGTAAATTCTCCTGTTTCTAATAACAATGTACCTACTGTTTTGCCTGTTACTAGCACTAATCTTTGCAGATTTCCTATTACTGGTGTTCAAACTGCTTCTTCAAATGTTGCTGCTCCTTCAATCAGCTCTATTCCATCTCAATTAAGTCATCCTGCTGCTCCTCAGAATGATCATAGAATGACAACTCGAGCCAAGGCTGGAATCTTCAAACCAAAGGCCTTCTCTGTTTCCTTGGAACCTACCACTGTGAATCAAGCTATGTCACAACCACATTGGTTACAAGCTATGAAAGATGAATACCAAGCCCTTCTTCGAAACAATACTTGGCAACTTGTTTCTCTTCCACCAGGCAGGTCCCCTATTGGGTGTAAATGGGTTTTTAAAACCAAATACAGTTCTGATGGCATCATATCTAAGTATAAGGCTCGCTTGGTTGCTAAAGGCTTCCACCAGCAAGAGGGCTTCGACTATGCAGAGACATTTAGTCCAGTGGTTAAGCCTACCACCATAAGAGTTGTTCTTACTCTAGCTCTTTCTCGAAACTGGCCTATCCATCAACTAGATGTGAACAATGCTTTCTTAAATGGAGATTTAACTGAAGAAGTATACATGGTCCAACCTCCTGGATTCACTACTGATGACAAAGGTGTAGTATGTCGTCTCACTAAAGCCTTATATGGCCTCAAACAAGCACCTCGTGCTTGATTTGAGAAATTAAGCTCTACTCTACTTAGACTTGGTTTTACATCCACTAAGTGTGACAGCTCTATGTTTGTGTCATTCACTGCCACTGCCACAACTTATGTACTTGTATATGTAGATGATATTTTGATCACAGGTTCTAACTCTACTGCCATTTCTTCCCTCATTACAACATTGAATTCAACCTTTGCACTTAAAGACCTAGGCAAATTACATTACTTTCTGGGAATTGAAGCTCACTCCTTGCAGACTGGTGGTCTGCACTTGACACAGTCCAAATACGTTTCTGATCTCTTGAAGAAAGCAAACATGGCAGATGCAAAGCCTATGCCCTCTCCTATGATCTCGGGACAAAAACTGTCTTCTACAGATGGTTCTCCTTTCCGTGATCCTGTTTTATATCGATCCATTGTGGGAGCACTTCAGTATGCTACTATTACGCGTCCTGACATCTCCTTCTCAGTTAACAAGGTCTGCCAATTCATGCACAATCCCCTTGATACACATTGGAAGACAGTCAAAAGGATCCTTCGATACTTAAGTGGCACATCATCCTTTGGTCTTCACATTAAACCATCTTCCAACTTTCATTTATCAGCTTTCTGTGATTCTGATTGGGGATCAGATCCCAATGATCGCAAATCCACGTCTGGCCTTTGTGTTTTTCTTGGAGGCAACCTCATTTCCTGGTCATCTAAGAAACAACCGGTTGTTAGTCGCTCCAGTACAGAGGCAGAATACAGATGCCTTGCTTGCACCATCACTGAACTCATGTGGCTGCGTTCCTTGCTCAGTGAACTTCGAGTATCTCTGCTGCAAGTCCCAACTGTCTACTGTGATAATCTGAGTGTTGTCTTGCTTACAGCTAATCCATTATTTCATTCTAGAACCAAGCACTTTGAGCTTGATCTCCATTTCGTTCGAGAGAAAGTAGTTAACAAGGTTGTTTCTGTCACCCATATTCCTGCAACTTCCCAGATTGCAGATGGTCTCACTAAGGCTATATCCAACACTTCCTTTTCAGAATTCCGAACCAAGCTTCGTGTCTCTGATTCATCGACCACTGTGCTTGAGGGGGGATGAAAGAGTATAACAGTTGTCAATATATTTCTGTTATAAGTTTTACATTTCTAGTTATAGTCAGTTATAACTAACTCCTAGCTACTGAGTTGTTAGTTGTAACTAGCCTGTATATATACACTGCTATGCTGTAATAGTGAGTAATGATGAATTGCTTTGTCTAATAGAAAGATCACATTCAGTTTTCTTCTCTTCTCTTTCTTTCTTCCCTTTCTTGCATTTTGGTCTGATACCTTACATGATCAAATTCTCAAGCAGCATTATCTCAGCTAGCTTCTTGTGAGATGCAGAGGTTGCGTTATGATTTTAAGTCACTTGTTTCCAAGTTGGGACTTATTGATATACACCTCCCAACTTGAGGATTTTGCTTAGTGTAGCTTATTTACTTGTTACTTGTATTATTTATCTTTGTAACTGACTTTGGTTAGGTATGTGTTGTTATCACTTTTCGTTAGTCAACTAGTATAGCTTCTTTTCTATTAGGAGGTTAGGTTATGTTACCTACTTACTTGTACCTTCAATGATACTCTTGTACTTCAGCTGATATAAATATCAGCTTCTTTGAGTCTGAGTAGTAACTTTCACATTTTCATCAATATGGTTGGTTTGCTTCTTAATACATGTCGACATCTAAATCTCCATGGTAATAACTAACAACTTCTTTTATTTATGAACAACTTGCTAACGTCACCAATGGAAATGCAACCGTACAGATTTCGGGTATAAATTAAAATATATATCACTATCCAATCTTATCTTCCCTAAGTTGACCGGACAGCATGAATTATTATGATAGAATTAATTTAACAGTCACTGAGGAAAAAAAAACATACTTAAATTAGGACGATAATTAATGAATACTCAATTTAATATATACACCCATAAGCCATTATAGGTGACTTACTAAAATAAGGACGATAATGAATACTTAATTTAATAGACACACGTAAGCACATTTAGGTGACATTAAAATTAGGTGATTGCATGAAACAATTCAATCTTAATCCAGGCCTTTGCATTTTATAGGTTATTTGACAGGTAACTTAGCTGAACAGTCTGGAACAAGTAAAATATGTCCAATTGTGCAACCTCTAACTCCTCCCACTCAAGTCTCATCAAGTTGACTTGTTATCTTTGTGGCTATAATGGTTTATGTTGTGAGAGAACACTAAAACAAAGAAGCCCACTTCAGTCATTTTATATTTAACGTCCACCAGCTTCTCCTTTTTGTGTTCCCAAATAAAGCTTAGTGTGCGCACCACAATTTTTTCCTTGCTCCCAAACCACCACATATCTTTTCAATAATTAATATAAGGGGAAGGTTATATTTACAATTTTTTTGTTTACAAACTCTTACAAACTACATTAAGTATTATCGGTCATACTTCAATTAAGAGTGTATGACCAGTCATACTTAGTGTAATTTGTAAAAAAAGTTTGTAAACGGATCCTTCTCCTTAATATAATACAAATTGTTGGAGTTGGAATCTTTGGGATTAACTATCTTATATTTAGAAAGTTTAGAACAGATAAAGATGGTGCGCAGACCAAACTTTAATTTCCATGCAAGGCATAATGCCAAGATCATATTCTATATTTTTGTGTGAAGATAAGTACTTAATGGTTGGGTTGTAGTTGTAAAGTAAAGCCCACAAACCTCAAGGGCATTAGTTAAATTAACGTGACTGCTAGTTCCACATGCTCTTACATTAAATTTCAACTCCTATAAATTCCACCTTTGGGGACACCAATTATGCATAGGCATTTCATTGTAGCCCAGCCTAATTATAATTAGTCAACTTGTGCAATTGTTTGTTGTTTTTGCAAACAATAATAACATGTCTTCCATTGGGGCACGTTCGGCTGAAATTTTAGTTATGGAGAAGAGGCAAAAGGAGAAGATGAAGAGAATGGAAGAAGACAGAGTAAAAAGAGGTGAGGTGAGTGCTGAAGAGACAAAGGCCGTGAGTGTTGGAAAGAGCAAAAAGGTGCATCCAGGTGGAGAACAAGGAGTCTCACCTGATAACGTTAATCCAGCGTAATGGTTTTCAACTTTGGGATAACCAAATAGGCTCTCCCCAAAACTACTATTTCTTCTTTCTATTTTCTTCCTGTTTTGTATGATAAAGTTTTTAATTTTTGTTTTATTATAACCCCTAAAACCACAAAAAATAAAAAATAAAAAATGCTTGTTTAGTTACTATGTAGTAGTTATAAAAGACTGTTAGCCGTTTGTAACATGTCTCAAATGTGAACCTGTGTTGCTGCTTTGCCAGAAGAGCACTTTGTACCTATGAATGAATAAAAGCGTTATTTGTATATTTATTCCAAAAGGACCAAAACTCATTCACAATAGAGTTTTTTTATTTTTATTTTTTTTCTGTATAACACACATCCGTATTTAATACAGAAAAGAGAAAGAGAGATAGAGAAAATTTAATTCACACCACGATGTTTGGATATATTAGGATTTTGAAACAAATATATAATTAGTACGTGTCAACCTCCGAAATCAACTTGGATAGAATGTCATTTCTCATAAACTTGACATCTAACTTCTTGTGGTCTACATAGCTAGCTCTGAGAAAACTAGTATAGTTAAAGAAAATCAACTTTGGCTCGAACAATATTGATTAACTGAGTAGTTAAGATTAGATCTCACTTTTAGTTTCATGTAACAAAAGAAAGTGTTTATTGCTTGTGTTTTATTACATAAATCAATAACTTTTTATTCAATATCGGTTATACACATTATTTTCTATACTTTACCGTTCATTTTAAAAGATTTAGTCCCATTTACCACGAGAGTGAAAAAGAAATATAAACGTCATGTAAGCATTTAAATAACTAGAAATGCTTAGTTATTATGAAAGGAAACATACCAAAGTCTTCTTGATTTTGGTAAAATTTAAAGTTTTGATTATTCATTTAAAATTATGATCCTTAAATACAATTGTTGTTTTCAATTTATACACAAGTTTAGTTTGATGCTTGATGTCTTTTATAGTTTTATTGGCTCAGTTTATCAAAGCCCCAATTTACGGAGTGGTGCTTCAGGCTTTTGCAGTACAATATCGGGAGAAGTAATATTAGAAAGGTATTAAAATAAAAGTAAGGCACTATAAGTGGCCCGTAAGTTTGCCTTATAGGCCTTTATTTATTTAGTATTATACGTACGGTAAATGAACAAAAGGTTTAGTATCATCCCGAAAATTATATGATATGAGCATGTACTGGTGTAATATATATATGCTTAGTAAATATATAAATACAAAATCTTGCCAGTAATTTGCATACGGAAATGCTAATTCACCATGAAATAGTTCTTGCAAAATGCCTTAGCAAAATTATTTAATTTTTTAAAAATAAAGAAAAAGAATAGTAAGTGAGTGATTATTTTTTATTTTTTACTTTAATTTAGCTATGCGTGACTGATCATTTTTCTAAGATATTGACGTCAAGAAGATGCCCTTCTTAACTTACCAGTGTAAATTCAAAAAGTTTTATTCCTAATTAAGATGTAATTTTAATTGGATATATATATATATATATGGAAAAACATTTATTAAGCAGCTTGAGATAAGCTAATTCTTTTTAAATGATTCAATTGAATGAATTATAATAATGAAAAAAGTTACTAGTTTGAATGCCGAAAAATTATAAAAAAAATATTTCTTAAGCAGCTTGAGATAAGCTTATCTTCGGCTACCCCAAAACTACGTCGTTTTATTTATTTATTTCCTTATATTAATTGATTCACCTTTGAATGGTTATTATTTCCTTTTTTTCTCTCTTCCTTTATTACCATTGATCCATCTTTGTACGGTTATAATTTAGTAACCGGAGATAAAATTATCTCTAGCAGCTTGAGAAACGATAAGCCCATATATATATATATATATATATATATATATATATATATATATATATATAAAAGGTTTAAAAAATTCTTTTCTAATGTTAGTTTTATAATTTTTCGACATTCAGACTAGTAACTTTTTTCATTATTATAATTCATTCAATTGAATCATTTAAAAAGAATTAGCTTTTGGTATATTAAGTGTCATGACTTAACCTAAATCTTCACTTAAATCCCCGTAAAAAATATTAACTCTAAATATGCTTATGAGATATTACATTTAACAACTCTTTGTTGATCCATGTTTATTGTAAATTTACGGACCGATAAATGGAAAACAATCAATTAGAAAAGAAAATAATCATTCTCTGAAATTTGTAGTTTCCATGGGGATAACTCCTCAAGATTCTAATTACTTAATTTATCCAATAATTAAATTAAAAGACACCAATTATTTAAACATCTTCTAGTTTTTTAACCTATGTGTGTAGTGTAATCTTTAGTTATTTCTCCAGGAATAAAATTATATATGATGGATATCGATAATGATATATCTTGTGAAATTTAAACTTGAACGTAAACAGATTTATTTTATTTATGATGAGACCATGTCAAAGAAGTTTACACGAGGACAACAACAAATTAGATACACATACTCTCATATTGTCCTTTAAGAACCAAATAAAAAATTTAATGATATAAGAAATTAAGTCACAAAAGTTTAAACTATTAGCTGAAGAGATATAAATTAATAAATTATTATATTTTTAGGAAAAAGTATTTGTTCTTTTAAAAGATAATTAATGTTGTATCATTTTAAGTGAAATGATAATGTTTCACTTAGTATTTAAATTAAAACTTTCCCCATTAATAATCTTTCACTCTCCTCCACCATGATCTTTTATTGTGTGATGAAGTCTCTCTCACCATAAAACATAGTGATTTTATTTAAAATGACACAATATTTTTAGGAAAGATTATCTATTCTTTTAAAGGATATAACCTTATATCATTTTAGATCCTAACCGTTGATTTTTGTTCATCAACGATTATAATCTATTGGGTCAAACATAACGGGTCAAATTTATTATTAATTAATTAATAATTTTAATTTAATAAATTATAACCGTTGATGGACAGAAAT